TAGTCATTAACTTTATGTTTTTAAAATAAATAAAGTAATTTTTACATGTACTTTTGTTACAGAGCACAAGAATTGCATATAAATGCTTTTATAAACATTTCAACATCTTGCTATTAACTGTTAATAATACTTTAAGAGTAAAAGTATCAAGTTTTCAGATGCAATTGATGTAATATATCAAAACAAACTAATTTTGCAATTTAAAACTTGCTGTTTCCCATTTGCACTTTTATGCAGAATGCTATGCTTAAAACGTAAAAGAAAATGCAGTAATTTTTGCAAGTAAATACGATACATATATTTTGTAAGTAAATACAATATATATGAATAAAATTAATATCTAAAATTTACACAATATTTTTAATTTAATTATTTCGAATTTATAAAATCATATATATTTATATTTAAAATTCAACACAATCGTTAGTTTTTATATTACCAAATTTCTTCCTTATATGTATAGAGAAGAGCTATCCATTTGCCAAAACAGACTATCAACACAAAAACAATAGTAACCACAACTGAAATGAAAAACAGCAGCTAAAGAAGGCAAATCACAAGCAATTCAAACATTTTAAATAAAATATTTCTAGAGGAAATATTTATGATGTTTTAACAAATAATCAGATTAACAGTTCCAAAAATTTTCTAAATGGTTTATTTTTTTTCATTTACCACACCTTTATATACTCAAATGCCAAAAGTCACAGGATAGCAGTATGCAAATTTTCAGATGACATTTGCATCATTTATACAAGCTTCTATAAATATCAAGAGCATTATCAATCATCAACTACAACCTCCTTGAGCCCTGTTCTAACATGTATTAGACAAGGCTATAATAAATTAATACAGTAAACTTAAAATGATAAACAGAATTTAAGAATTAAGATAATTGTTTAAAGCTATCAAAACATTCAATATTCTTCAATCTATGAGATGAAGGGTATGACAAGAGCATCTCTTATGACCATCCAAACGACAGTGCAATGGCCATCAGCAGATGCTTAAGTGGGTTTGGTTTATGTGATTATGGCAAAGCCTCAAAGGTTTTCTGCCTAAGGGAAGGGATGCCGCCTTCATGGAGGTCTTTCTAAGGGAAACTGAGTTGTATATACGTCACACATGGGGACAAAAATGCCCATGCAGTCAGCCCATTCACAGGATTCGAATTTCGAACTGAACTACCAGCATTCAGCATTTTTACGGCCATTGGTGGGCTTCAGATATTTAATCAGCAACACCTGACCACAGAAAGCCCCTTTAGTCTTTTGTCAATACTAAGAGAATAGGAGAAAGAAATGAACATTCAAAACAAGAAATAAAGATATATATCAGATAAAAATATGAAAGCAAACTTCTAAATTTAATTTACTATAACCTCTCATATTTTTACTTCATTTGGGAACTTCATTTCTCGGTCTTAAAACAGCACTTGTAACATTCAAATTAATCATGTGGTCTTATGTAACGCTTACTGCAGATGCCTCTTGACCAATCACTAAATTGTAAAACAAAATTTAAAACTGAAACTTTGCCTCCCTCTCTTCTTCCTTTGCATTACTATTGCAACATTCTCTCTTCTGGCTTATGCTTTCATGCTATTCAGATGCTTCTGCAACCAAGCTCTTATCGCCATAGCATCAAAATTGTAAATGTTCTTTAAACAGGCACAAGTAGAGTGCCAACAGACTGTGGCCACAAATCTGAATTTAAATAAAGAATGGAATTTAATCTGGCTCAACTGTTTCTTCTTCAAACTGGATGGACGCTCTAAGTATCAAGTATGTACGTAATCAGCATTTCTGTGTATCTACATCTCAGTGTTCCTATATCTGTACTTCCAAAATATGTGCTAATATTACATATATACATATACAACATACAGCAAAATAATGAAATATGACAGTAGACAAATATATGACAGACTATTACAGTATCTTTGTTAACAACATATCAGCTCTACATGTTGCTTTGAGCATATAATTAGAAGCCTAGATGACTAGAGAAATATAACTTGGTCTCGCAAATCACCAGTTGCTATAAGCTGATGATGGGATTCAAGTGCTATGCCACTCTTATGGACTCATGTTATCAAATGGGTACTTTGAAAGCTAATGGTGATATCATTAAGGTGTGGGATGAGTTTATAAGAGATGATTTGGATCTTGTCCTGCTAAGCATTCCATTAAACAGAAAATGCTATATTTATTTACTTGGTGACTATTTAAAATCCTTCATGGATTTCATATCCCAACTAAAACAGGATAGTCATGAACAACTAATTATATCATTACACCAGGACTGTTCAAAATTAATATAAAGACCATTCTGGACAGACAAATGACAAAACACCTACCTATGCTCTTATATCACATGCACAAGTAGACAGATTTTTATTCATTTAAAAGAGACAACACTTGCAACAATCAAACAACTATGGTAAGTTATTAAAAAAGATTGCCTCAATATTTTTTCCAGGAGATTTCCTTCGACTTACAGAGCCCTTGCCCAATCGAAATTTATTCATCTTGTCAGAAAGCAGCCTCATAAGATATACTAAGTAATGGTTCTATACAGTTTTGGCATTTGAGTGTAAATAATTTTAACTATTTTCTTATTTGGTTACTGTGTCAAATAATCATTCGCTCGAAATTTCATGACACCCTAACCTGGGAATAAATCATTATGCTAGAATCTTCTCATAGCTTCCATTAATAGTCTAAGTTTTCCTGTTATGTGTTAACACCTCACTGATGTCCTGTTACAGTGCACTAACTTATCTGGCATTTGTTCATTAAATGCTGTTTAATGGTAATGGTAAGCCAGGTAGATAAGAATAAAATAAATAGTATATTAATAGGATCAGGAAAAATATTTACTATACACTTAGCATTGGGAGGTCAAAAAAATACATGCGAAATATGTGTTTCTAGATTAAATTTATACTATTTATTAGTGCATTTATAATTCTTATACTATATTTTATTATCAACAACATATTTTTAAAAGAGAACTTAGGAGTCATGAAACTGTATTCTTTGGAAAATATCTAGCATTCCCAGGTTAGGCTACTTCAAGTATAATTGTGATGTGCATTTGGTTAAAACATAACACTTGAAATAGAAAAAACCATTTTTTATGCATATTTATATTTGGCTGGCAAGAATACAAAAATTTCTGGAATCTGTTGATGGTGTATAAATATTATCTAGGAATACAGATAAATAAGTAACAGTTGCAACAATATTTTTCATAATTAGAATTTAGTAATTTGAAAATTATACAAATATTAATGTAGAGAACTGAAAAGTTCTATTTTCACATAAAAAGAATAATCATTAAGCTGTAATTCAGTACTGTGGATTTCAGAATTCATTAATCAAAAGAATCTTGGTACTTAAATGTACATTTATGAACAACTTAATGCAAATAAATCTTGAAATCTAAATTGCATTATTCATTTCCCCCCTACCTTTGAAAACTAAGACCAACAATCAGAAAAATAGATATTCAAATACATCAGCAATATTATTGCTCAAATTTCCACTTTTATGCTTACTGAAATATGAATATATTCTTCAATGTAAATTAAATGCTTTAACAGAACACAGTACTGCATAATAAAATAATCAAACCATATTTTTTAACCTTTTTAGTGACTTTTATGAGAAAATATATACAAATAATGAAGCAAACACAGAGTTAATAGAAAAAGCTTCTGAAATCACAATTTCCTTGAATTCTAAAATCACATCCTATTATGAATAAAAGCTTAAAAACAAAAATATCCAAAATTTGTTTTGTAATTAAGAATGGCATTTCATTTTCTTAAAACTTTTGCCCAAAAGCATGTAATTAAAGATCTGAATATTGCAAATACATTTATATTCATTGTATTTCCTTAACTCCTGTTCCTAAGTTTCATTGTTTTCCTAATTATTTGCATTTTTCTCTTAACAAATGAAATTCCAAAAGAACAGACCCAATCAACTACAACAATCTCAGGTCTCTCTTAATGCACTTGACCATAGAATTTTTTTTTTGGACAAAGAAAATAGAATATAACAATAAAATATCAATAACACATTAAAATAAATCAAAGAGCTCTGCAGATAGAACAAAAAATGTTAAATTCCAAAACAAACAGGATTGATAATACCATCTGAAACAGAAGTTTTAAAAGCCTTGAAATAATGATGTCAGCAATTTTATAAATACATCCTTCCTTCAAAAAAAGAATTTCCAGTATCTGTAATCAAAATTTATTTACCTGATTAAAAAGTTACATAATTTTCTACACCTTTTCTGAATATTTCCCATACAATGATTTTTCAATATATCTCAAATTTTTATATCACCAGGTGAAAAGAAAAAGTTAAAACTGCATTATTAACATTGTACAAATTAATTTTTAATCTGTGCCCCCTAAAGCTAATATGAACAGTTCCCAAACTAAAAAATTCAAATATATCACAATTTTCACAACAGCTCGAAACAAGAAAGCAAAATGCAAAACAAAAGGGACAACTGACAAAAAAAGAATGTTTTAAAAAAAGGCCCTTTTCTGCACATTAACATTTCTTGTACTCCTAGGACAAATGATTCTTGATTAAATAAATTCATTTCATACCATATTATAACAGTTCAATAAGAATGATAACCTGTGCATACAATTTTAAAGTTTTCTAGAAAATTCCACATTTAGAATTAACTGTTTAAAATCTGAAAAAATGTATAAAAGTAATTATAAATAACATAATCCCACATTTTAAAGTAAAACTTGAGGCAAAATCACAAAATATTCACTATAATAAATTCCAATAAAAAAATATATATTTTTTATTTACTTTTGTAAATATACTGGACTTTTTCTATAACTGTGCATTTTATATATTTAATATGTTATTTACTTAACATGTTATAATATGTTATTTAGAAAAAGTTATCTAATACTTACCTTTTTTTTAACTTAACTAAATATAACAAATAAAACTTACTTCCCAAAAATCATTATGTGAGTGACATGGTCTTGCCAGTGTGTGGTGTAAAATGCTAACATTGATAACAGAAAGAAAGAAAACATCAAGAGAGGCAAGTTGCCAAGCTGGCATGCAGCAGCTGTAGTTAATCCAACAAACACTGCAAAAAATATTTTAATGAATACATATTTTTAATAAATGTTTTGTCAATATAAAATACTACAGATTTTTGCTTTCATAAAAATTTTCAGGTTTTTCTCCCTTTAAAACATGATTTGACAAACTCAAATATACTGCAGTTCTCATTCTTAATGCACCCACATTGGACCACTGTCCTAAATACAGGACAGCCCAATTAAATTTCATTCAATGGAAAAGAAAAGTAAACAGATAGATAAACTTTTGCATTAATCCCTTGAAACAGGTATAAGTGTCACATGCAGACTAAAAAAATGGCCTGTCATAATTAATTTCATTAAAAATAACTTGATAAATATTAGTCAGAATGAGAAGAAAAATAATAAATATTAGTCAGAATGAAAAGAAAAACAGTCACTCATCAGTTAGAATGAAATGAAAAGAGAAAAATAAGTCTTTAAAATGATTTATTTTTGAGCCATTATTTAGGATTAAAGTCTGTATTTTCCCTAAAGAGATGCATACATTTATGCTAGTAGATTTATAGCACTATTTATAGAAATAATAACATCAGTGAAAAAATTATATTTTTAAGGTATTTTTGTTTGCATTTTAAGTGTCCTTCCTGTAAATAGGACAACAGTCCGATCTCCAACTTTTTTTTTCTATCATCACTCCCTCAATTCATGAATAACATTCCTTTAAACCAATTTTAAACAATAGCTATTCATACAATGACATTAGCGTGACATATGGAAGGATTCGGGAATAGATTATTCTGGAATTTTTTTTCGGGTATCTTTTGTACTTCCTTACAAAAGTAAAGTTTCACACAACCCCCTAAATAAGTTTTTCTGAGTAAAATGGTTCCTCTGTGGACATTCAAAGCTGTGACATCAGATGAAACTTCTCTGTTTATTACTTGAGTTAAAATTTCAACTGTCTTTGAAAGATCAATATTTTTAAAATGGCATAAAAGTGTATATGAATTCTCTTGCTGATAAATTGATGAGCCTGAAATGGTTATTATTCCCTCTGAACCTGATTCAGTTAGTGATGAAGAACAGATAAGATGATTCTGTCACAAACTATAACATATCAGCAATATGTGGTGAATCTGAAATAGAAGATAACACAAGAACTATAGAAATTTTATCAAGAAACTGTAAAGAACCTGATTTTGATGTAAAAACCACCAAGTGAAAAAAATGTGAGCTCCAATTCATGCTTTTACCAAGCTGTATTTCTTTTCAAGACCATCAAAATATTCTAAAATGTGGTGTCAAGAAAAACTTTTCAAATGGTAGCTGAAGACATGATATCACATACAGTTGTATAGACTAACTACAGTCAAAAGTCGTTAATCCGGACTCGTCGGGACTTCGGCGATTCCGGATTATAGATCATCAGTTTAAATCTCATTAGATGGCATGCAGAAATTCTGCATGCAATAAAATTAAAAATATGAAACCGTAATTTATGAAATAAATAAAGAACAATTATGATCTAAAGGGTATCAAAATTTGCAAAAAGAAAAAGCTTAATATTTATTTGTTTACTTTATTAAACATTTCTTTCAATGTAAGTTGTTTAAGTTTTGCTTCGTTTCATGTGATAATACTTTCTCTTTAATTCTATTAAACAGATATAATTTCTTGTTCAGTTACAAAGTTCCGCTGTTCAAGTCCTATAATTGCTATGTCAAGAACACCCACTAATTTGTCAATCGAAATTTTTTCGTTTTCAATAACCTCTGTCACTTTTCTTCGCTATGAGGAACTTGTTTTAAATCATATCAAATACAGAGCATATCAAGATGAAATACTACATTTGGGAAGGAATTATAAGCCAAATAAAATAAAAACATCTACGCTGAAGATAAGGATAGTGCTGACAGATCAACTTCCAATTCATTACGCGCCCGCCGCAGCGTTCCCCCCTTCGAGCAGCGTGAAATTGATAAACAGATTTGGGATTTCAAAACATACTTTCGCTTTAGATCCTTTACATATTAACAAATATATATATCGGAAATTCTATTTGATATAATCGAAAGTTTAAGCTTACTTTTATAAAATTGCTCTTACAGTCTGCAAAAAATAATAAGCCGGATCCAATTCTTAAATTAAGGAACAACGCAATCATTAACATTAACTGAAATAGATAATTAGATAATTTTAGCTTATACGTCCATTATACATAAAACACGCACGCGAAAACGTATTCTGCACTTGCGCACACTCATATGCGCAGTCATAAAAGGTCTTATGCGCACGCGTAAACGCCTATGCGCATGTGTCAACGCGGCGCATGCGCAGAAAGTTTTTAGTTTTGAGGTCCGGATTATAGATCATTCCGAATTATGGGTGTCCGAATTAACGACTTTTGACTGTAATATGCAAAACAAGCAAATAATCATTCCTTTAGTGTCACTGAAAGTAAAAAAACCCCAAGGGATGCCAGAGACTATGCCAGTTAAAACATGCGACAGAAAAACTACAAGTATTCGCAAATTATGCGATATTAGACTTTGTGTTGACAATTTTCCCAATTCTTATTGCTAATTACCTCTTGAGAAAGTAAGCAAAATTTTTGTAAAATTTATTAGTGTATTGGACCGTTGTCCTATTAATAGGACAGTCTGTAACTTCATAAAATCTAAACACTATCTAAAAATTTTTGTTTTACATGTATTACTACCTCATATTATTATCTTTTAGTGTTACATTTTTTCAGCAGAAAATTTTCAGTTATCCAATATGGATTAATGCAAGTGCTGTCTTAGTCTAACGCAAATTACAAATTTGGTTCTTGAACAAAAAGGAGAATCAGAGCTTGTACTATTTGGAAAAAAGGCAAATTTACCAGCAACATGGTCCTTTGATTGGAGATAAAACTGTTTAATAACACAAATTGCAGAAATGAAGTACAACAGCAAACAAATGAAATCGTAATTTGTTAATCCCTCCTTAATTTGTTAACCTCCTTCTATAAAATTCTGAATAGAAGGACGGCTTTCCAATTCATTACATGTGCAAATTCTGCCAATGGATCCGATTTCAGATTGGATGTATATTGGAAGAAAGGGAGTCCAAATCAAGACAATGAAACTTTACTTACATATTCTTTTGCCTTTTCACTCTGTATTGGAAAAGTCTTCTGCATCAAACAGTTAAGGAGAATAACATTCAAAATATGCAAAACATATGTAAGTCAACTGACATATGGTGGGAATACAGTTTATTGAAATCTAAGTTTTGGTAACGTGTGAAAAAATTGAGACTCGACAATTTCTACTCAAAGGAAGTTTGTTGGAAATGAACTGGAGAATTGGATACGAGGAAACAGTTGAGAGACTGAACAGAAGACCGCTGAAGTAAGACTACTGAAATGGTTCATCATTCAAAGAAGTCACAGCCTGCCAATACCCTCCAAGAGTTATAGGCATAATAATAAAATACTGTGCAGAAGGATGACTTTTCAATTCATTACATGTGAAAAATTCTTCCTGCTCTTTATGTACCTGATTTTGAGCTGGATGCACACTGGAAGAAAAGGAATCAAGGTACAAAAAGAAAATGTCATTTTGGAATTATAATCAAGAGAATACCATTTTCATGACATTTTGGGAAATTTGAAATTTCAGGATGAAACTCTTAATGCTTGGAGGGTTAATTGGCAAAATAACTATAACCACACTTATACAAGATATATCCTTTTTTAAATATGCAAGTAGATGATAATTATCTGCATAAGGTAAATCTTCATTAAGGCCTTTCTAAAAGAACTGACTGTCAAAACTTCTGTGTGCAAACTTCAAAATTTCTGAACTTCTAAAGAACTGACTATCGTATATCAGGCATAGAGAAAAAAGAAAAGCCCTCCAAAATTCCAATCCATTAGCCAGAATTTGAATCCAAGTTGAACTATCATTATTCAAAGCCATTAAACATAGTTACTAGTGGGCTTCTTTCCCAGAAATTTTAAAAAAACTTGATTTTTAAATATCTGATGTGGACACCACATGACTTCCTTGTATAGCCTAGTAAATTATATACATTTTTTGCTGCATTTCATTTAAACTTATTTCCTCGAACTTCATTAGACATATTATAGTATATAGTGTGTGTGTATATATATATATATATATATATATATATAGTAAAAAAGAAGCCTAAATCTATACTGCAATTAAAAATTAGCTACATTAAATCCAGTCCTTGACAGTCAATTTTGAATTTTACAAGCAAGATTAACTAGAAAAGAATTCCAAAATAAAATGGCTATTTTATTATACATGGCTTTTTACTTTCTTGCATAGAGTAAAGGAAGTATTGGAATCATGAAAAACTTCAGGTATCATATTTCAATGAAAATATCCATTCTGACAACTCTCAAACCCTTTTCAAGGCTATACAAGGAATTCATGTGGTGTCCACATGAGGATTTCTTTTAATAATAATGCTCATAATAAAATACTCTTTCTTATTTATACTGCTATAAAATGAGCTGTATTAATTTCCTTCCTCACTTAGAAATTAATCTTAAATATGAATAAAAATACCTGTAGATATTGCATCACATCCATGGTCATATACTTCTTCTATCTGTGTATCCTGTACTTTCATAGCCTGTTTTCCATCTAAAGCATCCAATGTTTGATAAAGAAACACTCCTGCTGCACACAGAAGAAATGCCCAGGCAGGAGCCTTTAAAAAAATCACTGTTCACTAAAAATTTTAAATGAGTCATTCATTTAAAAATTTAAAATGACAAAGTGCCTACGATGCATAAATCAGATACACTTCATGATTAGAAAATGATGCAAATAGTCTTTATTACATATACATGAAGATATTTTTTAGAAAGATTTCAGGTGCTCAATTTTATAAAATAAATACCATGATCAAATATTGCTTATTATTATCTGTATATTGGCACCGCCACATAAATTCACAAAATAAGAGTAAAAATATACTCCGTAGCGATGCTCGACTGTAGGTATTTCCGACATTCAACCATACGCATTTCCTTCCTACAAACAGGACACCTAATAATGGCTAATAAGTAAACCTTCATTTACACACCAGTCAAATAATGCTCTTTGCCCCTTTCTTTCCAAATCTTACAGAAACTTCAAATTAATCTTACCACATTCAGCCATTTTACCGTTTAAACCACAAAACAAGTAATATGCTTCCTAACCAACACACACCTTATGAATTTACCAAGATCTGGAATCATCGGGACATCAGCAATTCCAGATTTTAGTTAGTCAATTTAAATTTAGTAAAATGACAAGTAAACATGGCAACATTTAAGCTTCACTTATTATTTTGGTCAGAGAGAAGAATGCTATTCTCTAGCAAAGCTGGTGCCAAAGCCAATACAGGAGCACTGGGCAGCAGAAATTAAAGGGGCACAAAGAAGCAAAAATTAAAGATGGAAACATTTTTAAAGTTTAAGAATTACAGGGCAGCAAAATTTAAGACCTGAAAATATTGCACCGGGTGGTAAAATGTATAGCATCAATCCTGCCTCTTCCTACAACTATTCAAGAACCAACAGCATAATCCTGGCCAATATCAATGTAACATTAATTAGTGTATTATTACTGACTACTCTAGCCAGCAGGTGCTTGAAAATGACAGGCAGAATCTCAATCAGTAGGAAAATCGAATTTGCAGTACACTTATCTTCTTTTGATAACTGTTATATTCTTTTATTTATTTATTTATTTTTACCAATGGTGGGCCCTAAGCCGATGTCGGCTAGGCTACTACTAAGACCAGAAATGGTGGCCATTTTATTATGGAAGCACCTAACAGGACTATTATATTCTCTATTACTAGATTTCGTAAGGCAGTGAGAATTTATTATTTATTGGCTTGGGGGATCTGGATCAAATATTAGATATCCAGATTTTGCACAGTAAATATTTTCTGAAAATTTATAGTAACAAGCTGATGAATAAACCGATAGTGATGAAGAGAAATTAATGAAATTCTACATAACAGGATTTCATTTATTTCTGTTCATAATGCTAATTTTTAGACAATATCAATAAATATTAATAAACTGTCAAAAATATATAAAGCACATTTACTATAGATTAAAAAGTTGATATTAACTTGTTCAACCCATTTAAATTTTTTCTATATATTGCAGCACGAATGAATTAGAGATAAAAAGCATTACCACAACATTACTACCTCATTTCTTCATTCTCAGAAAATTTCGAAAGAGAACAATTAATAGGTAATGGAGCATGGGCCCTTAATTTAAAAAATAATTTGAGAATTATAATTTTATTAATCCCAAGAATTATGAATACGGAGCACCAAACCTTAATTTTAATTAAATCAGAGGTGCAGATAGACAATTGAGCAGATACAGAAGGCTCTACTATATCACCATTAAAAGATAAAGACCAATGAGAGTATTTATCAATGCCCATTACTGTTCCAATGTATCACATGTACCAAGAACATTCGTACTGAAGCATAAATGACCGAATTGACGAAATAAGTAGCACAGAATTAGTTTTGACTCCTACTGCACACACTGACACAGTCCGAATTCATCTGACAAAGAACCAACCCCATGGTTCCAGTGTGCCAGGTTAGAACTGTATATTTGTCAAAATAGTCAACACTTTGACGCATATGTACAGTTCTAAGCTGACACACTGAAAACATGAAACTGGTGTCAAATTCTTCATTTATCTATCAGTGTGATGCAGTTGGAATCAATCTAATTTCATGCTACTCACTTCATCAATTCAACCACTGATGCTTCAGTCTCAATGCTCTTGGCACATGCAAGACATTGACAACATTCCAGATCATGACAGCACATAAAACCTTGTATAGTAATGATCTGGAGTAATTTGACAATAGCCTTTGATACCAAATACTTTCATTGTATCTAACTATATTGGATGGTCATTTACATCATTTCATGTTTTTTGCCATACAGATGAAAGTTGAGTGTAACAAGCAGCAAGATAAATGCTCCTGTCACAGATCCTGCTTGGCTACAGAGTTCGAAGAGCATTCTACCAAATTATCTCTGCTAAAATGACACTGAGAAGTCCACACTTAAACTGCATTGAATAATCTTGGGATATTGTAGCAAATAGTGGTGAATGACATTTATCCTTAACAGTTTATAGAAATAATTTATAAAAAATTCTAGAAGACTTATAGCAGATCACACCTTTTAAATATTTTCGTATACCTGTTTAATCTATGCCTTATGAGGCAGCCATTATAGGTCAAAAACATTACACATTATTAATCAGCTTTCCATAATTTGATGACATTTCAGTGTATTAAATTCATTTATAATTGAAATATTAAAATATTTACCCATAATTTAGCATTCCCAAATCTTGGGTATGCCATTTTTGTGATTATTCAGTATATTAATTTAGCAGAATAGAATGTTAATATTTTAAATAGTACAATAGATAAGAAACACATAAAAAGTGAGGTTGACTATCTCTTTGAAACATAATAATTTATGCAAAAACTTTATTTGCAAGTAAAACAATCAGCTGATTCACAGCAAAATATCTCAGAATATAATATCAATATCACATTACATACCTTAAAAGCTTCAAAAAATAAGCATAACTTCCCTACATGAAACAGGAACTGCACTGAAACCAAGATAATATTTACAAGCTATGCTGAAACTGGACTAGGGTAGACCAGATTATTTTAATTACTGATGTTAATTTTCAAGAAACTTTTGGTGGCAAGAAGAGTGGAGCTTATTTTAATTTCAAATAACTCAAACAGTTCTTATTTCCTAAAAATTATATTACTAAAATAAAGGAAAATTTAAAAAAAAAAAAAAATAACCACTATATTTTAAGAGGCATTACTTCTTTCTTATGCATTTCGAGTACAGTCAAAAGTCGTTAATTCGGACACCCATAATCCGGACCTCAAAGCTAAAAACTTTCTGCGCATGCGCCGAGTTGACACATGCGCATAGGCGTTTACGCGTGCGCGTAAGACCTTTACGACTGCGCATATGTGTGTGCGCAAGCGTAGAATACGTTTTCGCGTGCGCGTTTTATGTATAACGGACGGTATAAGCTAAAATTACCTATTTCAGTTAATGATGATTGCGTTGTTCCTTAATCTTCATTTATCTATCAGTGTGATGCAGTTGGAATCAATCTAATTTCATGCTACTCACTTCATCAATTCAACCACTGATGCTTCAGTCTCAATGCTCTTGGGACATGAAAGACATTGATTACATTCCAGATCATGACAGCACATAAAACCTTGTATAGTAATGATCTGGAGTAATTTGACAATAGCCTTTGATACCAAATACTTTCATTGTATCTAACTATATTGGATGGTCATTTACATCATTTCATGTTTTTTGCCATACAGATGAAAGTTGAGTGTAACAAGCAGCAAGATAAATGCTCCTGTCACAGATCCTGCTCGGCTACAGAGTTCGAAGAGCTTCGAATAAGCCGGAATTATTTCCGGCTTATTATTTTTTGCAGACTGTAAGAGCAATTTTATAAAAGTAAACTTGAACTTTCGATCATGTCAAATAGAATTTCCGATACTGGAGCTCTCAAAGGATCTACAAAACGAAAGTATGTTCCGATGTCCATCAAACAAAAAGTGGAATTGCTGCAAAAAATGGATAAAGACATGAAGAAGGTGACAGAAAGGTTAGTGAAAATGAAAAAATTTCGATTGACAAGTTAGTCGGTATTCTCGGCACAGCAATTAACGGGACTTGAACAGCAGAACTTTGTAACTGAACAAGAAATTATGTCTGTTTATAGAATTAAAGAGAAAGTATTATCTCATAAAACGAAGCAACTTAAACAACTTACATTGAAAGAAATGTTTAATAAAGTAAACAAATATTAAGCTTTTTTTTTTTCTAAATTTTGATACCCTTTAGATCATAATCGTTCTTTATTTTATAAATTACGGTTTCATATTTTTAATTTTAGAATTTCTGCATGCCATCTTACGAGATTTAAACTGATGATCTATAATCCGGAAAAATCGATAATCCGGAATCGCCGAAGTCCCGACGAATCCGGATTAACGACTTTTGACTGTATTTTCTTCAAGAACTGTTTCTCTTTTTTGACTGGCTGAGTAAAATTATTTGTGCGCTACAATATAGTTACAGATTTTGAAACATTGACATTTAAGTGGGTTTTTTTCAACATCCCAAATATTTGTCATCAAAATATCTGTTGTGCTGCTATATTTTCATTAAGCACAATTGAATTATTAATGGCAGACTGAAAAGAAAGATGATTACACTAAAAACAAATGAAATCTCATTTCTTCAGGCTTACGCCATAATTTAATTTATTGTTTCTTCTTTTCCAAATGTAATATTTTTGTGAATAATTTATTATCAGATAACTCTTTCATCATTTTATTCCCTTGCAAATGCTTTCCTCCACTGCTTTACTATTATATATTTTTCAAGTGATATATTTAAAATTCTGCAGATGATTCAAATACATTATCTGTTTTTCAATATGCAAAATACCTTTTTTTTCTATGCATAAATGATTAGGAAGAAACATTCTTTAATTAGGAGTTGAGGCAATAATTCTTTAACCACTTGCGCTATGACTAAACTTTACGGTTGCGATGCCGTGCGCTACAATATAACAAGCGGTAAAATGTCTCAATTACGCCGACCTGCGTCTGCAATTCACAGCTGTAACTCGAGAAATATGCAATCCAGAGCTCTAACTCAAGAAATAAACAATCTCGTTGTTAGGCGACATGTGCACTACGTTATTTTCCTTTTTGCGATAGATGCCTATCGACGTGGTGTTCACGTCACTCACAGTTTGAGACAAAAGCATCTCGACGCGCATGGCACGTCTTTTTAGCGCAAGTGGTTAAGAAAGATGCCCTCACATGCGGTTACCAGAAAGAAACCAATTCTTAATCATTACATATGTAAAAACCACAAGCATAGGCAGCCAACTTCTTTGGGATTCACATGTGCATTAAACTACTACAGTCCAACAATCTTACCCTTAAGTAAAACTCCATTCTTTATTTAAAATACATGATAAATTAACCACTATGCAACTTCTACCCTGATTCTACAAAAATAAATAAATATTATATGGAGAAGTATGGATAGTCCTCAATGTAATACTCCACCAGAGGATACGGACATATTCCAAAGTGAAACAATATATTAAAATCTACAATATCTGGTCATTTTAGTGAAATAGTGTACTAAATCCATATCTGGTCAAAAGATAAAAAGTAACATTTTATGTAATCTGAGATCTAATATTTTACATTATTTGAACAAGCATACTCCATAAATAATATTTCAGAATAAAAATGGATTAATATAAAACACAACTTACTTCTGTTCTAGCATCAGGACTAAAGTATAAAAGAGTCAGACAGCTACCAAGGTTAACTGCTAAACCAAGACATGTTAGAACACAAGGAGCTATACGCATTGGGACAAATTTCACCAGCCACATCCAGAACCTAAAATTCATAGCAAAATAAAATCATGCACAAGAACAGTAAGCATAATAATGAGCATGTTAAACATACACTTGTAAATAAATAAGATATGTGCGATTTGCATTTATAATTAAGAAATTCATTTCAAAAAAGAAATAGACTTCAAATATTCATTCTAATCTTCAACTTTATTGAATTTTTTACAATATATAGCAATCTTCCAGTTAAAATTGATATTTTCAGAGAATAATTTTTATATATAAGGTTTGAAGCTTTTAACTGTAGTAATAATATTCTCTCTTTACATATATATGCATGCTATGAAATAGTATAGCAGCATTTCTTGCTTATACTGTTATATGTTAATTTGACTAACTCTCACAATAAATGTTCAGTTCTATATGTATATACCATTGACAAGAATTGACAAGAATAGTCTAAAGCAAGTTAATGACCAAATACTGTGTAACAAATGATGCACTTGAGAGAGAAATAGTAGATCTATCAGAATGCATAAAGGATTAGAAGACACTCCTCAAATCCATTTGGAGATTTGAACATGAATGAAAGGCCTTTTTTGCCTCATATTATAGTTGCCAACCCTGATATATGAAAAACCAGGAATTTCTGGGAAGTTTTTGAGCTGCATTGAAAGCTCAATTTCAAACAATTTTAATTAATTTAAAATACACTTACATTTGACTTGAATTTGTTTTGCCTTTTATACAAGTGCATATGTTATATGCATACATAACATATATACATACATACATTTCTGAATCTGATCCCGATAACAGAAGAGTATTTTTTCCCCCTGGTAAATAAGATTTTCTTGCTGCTTTCGAAAGCCTATTTGATGCACCATTAGACATACCGAATCATCAGAAGCAAAACCGGTGTATCATGTCCACGGACTAAGAATATCGGAAGTAATTAGCAATTATTGGATTATAATTCTGAGAAGTTCGATACTTTACTTAGCTGGTGAACAGGTTACAGATTTCTATATACCAGACTGTGGAGGTAACATCTTTTTTAACTTGCAAATTCCGAGTTAATAGGCATAAGCTTTCAAAAATAACTGAAAAGAAAAATAACATTCATACTAGTACTAAGCTAGTTAAAAGACTTCAAAAGCTTGATGAAGCTGCCAAAGATTTCAATTCACTATCAGAATTACTGGAACTATTAGAAATGACAGAACAGATTTTAAAAAGCTATGATTTAGTGGCGGAAGCACTCGCAGATAATCCAGAAAATTTTTAAATTAAAAGGTTCGGAAGAATATGATGACAAAATTTTATCTGCCAAGATTAAACTAAAGAGCAAAATCAAAGTATTAAGAGCAGAAAATGTTCAACAGACTCTTTCAGTTAACATCAAGCATTTACGAAAACACCGAAATATTAGATCATGACTTCAAAACTGCAGAAATTAGAAATTTCCTGATTCCCTGGCAATTATAGCAAATTTACGGAATTCTTAAATTGTTTTGATATTGCAATCATTTAAAATAATTCTCTTACAAAAATGGAGAAATTCCAATATTTTAAATTCCTTCTTTCTGGCCCTGTATATAATGTTTGTTATTGCTGGTTTTGAATTAAATGAGAAAAACTATAAATCATATCTTGAACCTTTAAAACCAAGCTATGGTGGAACTAATTCTATCATAAATTCTTACATGACTAAATTACTAAACTTCGAGTGTAAGAAAGCTTAATAAGTAAAGTATGTATATGAATGAAGGTTTAATTCATTCTCATTGTGAATGTCAAGTTTATATGAAATACATGCATCTGGTCAAGTTTAAGGATCAACTGGATGGCTATGAGTGGGTTTCTCGTGAGAAACTGGTGCTTATACCTAGGCTTGCCAGATTTCAGAAATGTTCAATCAGGAGACCGGAATGCCCCCTCCCATCACAAGCATATAAATTTAAACATTTTGTTTATTGCATGCTGATATTTATAAGTTACTTAAGTAAGAAAAAGCACTTTAAAGGAGGTTATAAATTTTGAACAATATTTAAATGTACTTTTCATGGGTTAGGACTTTTTTAGAAAGTCATTTTTGGTTTTAATCTTGTTGTACAAATCTTTGCAAGCTAATATGTTATTAAATTTAATGTCATCAAGCCTTTAACCGTAGATTCCTTCATCAAACCCCTATCAACAGTTCATGCGTTGTTCATCAAATAAAACACTCTCTCAAGTGGTGCTGATATCCCAGGTAAGCAGATGGCATACTCAACAACCCTGATTAGATTGGAGACTACTGTGTGATTCTCCTTGAAGCCAGAGCCTCAAACAGCCAGTCATTTTTCTTCACTTGAAGTAATCACATCTCTGGTGGACTCTTCTTGTTTCCACCATTTCCAATTTGATTGCAAATATTCCATAGCAAGCACAACTTCGTCAAACAGGTGATAAGTACTTATTTGTATATCAGGTACATCAAGAAGACTGCTGTTAATCATTTCAGCAGAAGTTTCAGCATTTTCCCATTTAACAGCATTTGTTTTGGTCAAATTGGCCAAGAAAACTGTTCAGCATTTCCAAAACTGTTCTCCCAGAGGTCCAAGTATGCAATGCATCTTTCATAAAGCCATCCAATTCTTTCACACTATTACGCACTTGCTCGTCTAGATTCCTGCAGATGTTCTTTGCGCCCATAGGATAAAGTTTGAAGCCTTTCTTTCTGTCATGTTCTTTGCACCCATAGGGATAAAGTTTGAAGCCTTTCTTCCTGTCAGGTTCTTTGCACCCATAGGGGTAAAGTTTGAAGCCTTTCTTTCTGTCAGGTTTCTTTTTAAAACTTTACGAGTTTCAGAAACCTCAAAAGCTGTAGTCTTATCTTTTCCCATTACCAAAATGGCCCTGAAAAATGCAAGCTATCTGTGGAGAAACCACAAGTACAGCTCGCACATTAAATCAGTAAACAAGTTTTTTTTTATTGTTGATGGGCACATTTCTTGGTCTAACAATTTTAGACTTTCAAAAATCTGCGAAATTCTTTCCAGTGCGGGCATCATTGATAGAAACCAAGTGTTCACATGTTGAACAGTTTACGGTACTTTATCTCGGTATATTCACAAAATTCTTTTAGTTACACGGACTCTGCATATGGGAAAGTATTTATAAATCTTCACAGGTAAAGCCTCAATATCAATTGGGAGACTATCTACTGCAGTTTGCACACAGTTGTGTACAATGTGTGCTCCACATCCGACTCCACCGATTTCTCATCTTAGGCTATTCTTGAGTCGATAGAAAACATTGTTTTGCCCTGCTCTTTTCACACCACCGAAGTTAGTGTTGCAGTTATCTCCACAAAAGCCCACTACTTTGCTGTTCAAATCGTTTTGCAGCAGGACAGAGTATAAGTAATTTGTAAAAATTTCAGATGTTTCACCCAAAACACATTTGAAATCTAACAGCTTTACTTGCACACCTGAATTAGGAATAATGCAGTGCACAATAATTGGCATAGGTTTTATATCCTTTCTGTATGATGCATGCATGCTTACAGATACGTAGTTTGACTTGGTCAAGTCTTCTTTAAACTCTTCTTGAGCTAAATGAGCTATGGCATTTAAAACTATTTTCTCAATCTTAGTTTTTCAGAGTGAGAACTTAGGTTAAGAAAACTTAGAAATTAGCTTTGATGAACAAGAATTCGAATTGAAACTTAGGCTATGGTTTGCTGTGTAGTAAGCAAAGGTCGCCTCTTTCGCTGCTAAGTTTATATCATTAGAACTCGCAGTCTTAAAAGAACTGGTAAGTTTTGATAAGCTAGCAGCACACGCTAAACTCTTTTTGTGTTTACTGGATTGAAAATGATCTTTTATATCGTATTGACCACCGTGAGCAACAAAAACTCAGAATTACAATGTGAACATTTAACTATCGTCTTGATCCTGATTGCCAGTACATAACCTTCTTCAAAAAAGGGAATTCATTCTGTAAATCCCCGGTACACTTACACGACTGTTTTGGCATTTTAACAGAGAAAGCATAAATTTTAACTTAAAGCATAAATAAAATAGTGCTAGTTCTCTAACATAAGAGACACCACCGACAGGGACTGACAACTGACTGATTTATCTAGTGCCAAGGTGGGCGAGTCCAATGTTATTGCACACAGCGGGGTGTAACGTGCAGGGAAATCTTTTCTGGCCCTATAGCTGCACCACTTAGTGCCCAATATTGGACTCGGCCGGAAAGCCTCTCGCATTGCGCATGGTCACGATTAGCGAGACAAGACGATACGATGACAATATTATTTATTGGCAGATCATCACTCTTCAACAGTTTTGACCTTTCATACAGTACAGAGATAACCGACAAAGTAATTATCATAAATAATACTTCACAGTTAATTATTTTTAGAAGTTTTTGGTCATTTATAAAATCAAATTTAATTTTTACCGGGATGAGAAGTAAACTGGCCAGGACACCTTGATTGTGAAAACCGGGAAGTCTGGCAAGCATACTTATACCAGTACCATCGAGGGCACGCCATATTATGTGCGAGTTTCTGCAAGCAGGGGCTTCGACAGTCGTTGGATAACATTTTTATTCCTAGTTTACAGCGTTTATGTGGCATCACCAATATTGAATCACGAGGAGGAGGATCAATATTAGTATTAAATGTATGCATAGCAGTTATTCGATGCTGACAACGAGACTGATGAGATGTAACCAAGAATACACAAGGCGAGTACTTTTATTATTTTCATAACATAAGTTTTTGGTGTTGTTTTGGGCAACAGCCATCGAGGAAACATTTCTTTTTGACGCCATTCTTGACATCATAAAAATTGCCAAAAATAAAAAGGCATCATTGTAAACTTTTACCTGGATGAGATCTGAACTGATCATACAAACTAAACTGAAACACAAATTAAAAGAGTAGGCATTAAGTCACCATGAAAATCAAAAGTTATTGGAACCTTGGCATGGTGAAGATTACAATGATTTTCATGTATCAATACAAGGGTTATTACTCTAACATATCTCAGAACAAACTAACAAAATGCAATGCTACTGCTCATTTTTGACATTGCATCCACCATTACAAAAGAAGTAGCAACACCTTCTGTAGCATCTTTCCATCATTTTGCCAGACAATACCTGGGTGCACATAGCTAATTTATTTTACTCATGGCTAATTTATTTGAGGAAAGTCAGAAGTATTCTACAAACCACCATACTTGTATCGCAGGATTCAAGTCTGTACAATGATTTGATAGCCAAAATGAAAAATGCATTTTATGGCACTCATTTTTTAAATATTTCAGACATTCTTCAGGCAAAGGATAACATCATCAGAACTATCAACACTGATGCAGATATACAGTAACTTCATTGTTGGCAAAGAAGTTTACACAATGCCAATAAATTTTCGCCTAAAATATCCTTTCTGTGTCTGTTATAAATTATTTGTATTTCCAAAAGTGAAGTTCTAAGTTTTTCAGCAAAACTTCTGTTTCTTTCAAAGCAAATCATAATGCTAAAGTCACATTAAAGAAAAACTCTTTACTGATTACATTTAGCTCGCGACTTTTTAACCCCTTAACTGCAGCGGAAAACATACAGGATTCATTTCCCATTGCACACAGGCGCGCATAGTTATGCGATGTATTTGAGGGAAAATAAGTGCAACTTGTACTTTACTTTCACAAAATAAAGAATAAAAGAAAAAATGAAAGCACAAAATTTAATGTTTTGAGTAAAAGTATAATAAAAAGTTGTAAGTATAATAAAAATGATGTTTTTATAATAAAAAGATCCCTAAAATGGAGTTTCAATCAATTCATTTTTAGGCCAGTAAAGTCAGGTTTCAATGTTGTACCTTGTGAAATCAGTACGCCTAAAAAAATATATTTCTTCTGAACTGGTTGAATGCCACGATCTTGTTCTGGATTTTTCGTTTGCAAGCTGTTGGTTCATATACTCGTCTACAAACGTTTGTTTCAGTAACAATATGAAGCACAAGCAGTTCATCAAAAAATAATTCGAAAAAGATAAATGGTTTGAAACATCCATTATATCTTTCTTTATTACTGGAACTTGCTATAAAAAGTAAACAAAAGCGGAGGACACAGAATAAAAAAAATACATTTTACTTAAACAATACCGTGCAATCATTAGTTTCATTGCTTTAGACACACCCCTCTCTCCCCACACTTCTCTGAAATAATATCCTCCTTTGCATACTTTGTCAAGGTCATTGTGATGTTGCATTCCAAAGCTTTGTGAATAATTTTACAGGTAGCAGCACAAAGCAAATGCTAGTAGTTAGGAAGGACGTATATATACGCCCGTGGCAGTTAACGCATCGGCTGAGCAAGGCATATATATATATGCCCATGACAGTTAAGGGGTTAAGTTATTCATAGTATGAAAGTGAACAAAAACGATTATTAAATATCTATAAAAAGATAAAAACTAGTTTTTATAAATATACTACATTTTATTACACATAAATTTCACATGCTGCCAAAGGCCTACATAACTACATTATACCACCTTCAAAAAGAAAATCAATTTATGCAACAGATACTAGAGTAAAAATTAATATAATTTAATAAACTGTAAAAGAAATTATAAAATGTTATTAAGCATAATGTGCAACAAAATACTTATATAAAATTAATTTAAAAAAAGGTTAAAGATATATATCTGTTACTTAAAATATGGAACTTAATCGGCCTAGGTTGTTTTAAGTTACAGTACTGATGGTCATCTCTGGACTCCCAGTTAGTAAACCCAACAAATCACCGGTTACCATATTCCAAACATTAACCATAACTATTCAAGATTATATATTTTACAAGGATAAATACATTTTTTTAAAGAATACTTACTTCTGTAGAAAAAGAAGCTCTAGAAATGATCCCGCTGTTGCATTGTAAATGTATGGTTTCTTGCTCAATACATCCATCTGTTCTGGAAGAAGAATCCATCCGGAGCTGCTTTCGGAACTTTTTTTAATTTCTTTAGAATACATGATGCTCCTAAAATATTTAAAATTAGATATACTATAAAAAAAAAACAACTCCATAAATTTTTAAAACTTTTATTTCCTTCCCAATACAGTAAAACTGGTTAGTCTTCAGTTAAGAGATACAAGTTTGGCTTTGGCAATTTTTGGTAACATTTGAACATAACTGGTGATACGTTTCCTGCTTCATTACACACTCCCCTTTTTTTTTTTTTTTTTTTTTATTAACTGTCATTATTGACTACATAACTATCATCAAATATTTTACCCGTCCCATACACAACTCAACTGAAAAATCAATACAAACAAAAAACAAAACAATAAAATAAATAAATAAATAAATAATGAGCTAGAAGGGAATATAATTTAATGATGATTCCATAACTTTAAGACTATTACAGAAGAAGAAGCATATTTTGAAGCATTTACAATGCAGAATGTAAAAGTTAACATAATAATTATATTGTAGTCAGTTTCTTTAACATGTTTATGAAATACGAATCAAAGCTTTATATATTTCTGATTCTTATTAGTTAAATTAGGAAAAAAAAAAAAAAAACTCTTTACACCAAGTTTAATTATAATTTTAGTAGCTACGAATAACAAAGGAAATAATTTTGTTTTAAAATTATCTTCAGGCTCGATACAGATTTAGGGTCAACAGATATTATAGTAAAATAACCCTCTTATTTTTTGACTCATTAATTGTCAAAAAGCAGAAGACATCAACAAAAGAGTTAATTGAAATTAATGCAGCTGATATTTTAGAATCATTACACAAATGAAACATTAATACAGATATTTTTAATTATCTCCAAACAAATTTTTGTAATTTGCATAATCACCACCAAATACTTATTTCGACTAAATATACGAACCTTTTAATTACTCAGAAAATAAGCATGCAAAAATTGAAAACACAATACAGTAAAATAAAACTGAGAAAAAGGGAATGCAAATCACCACGAGATATGTACGTAGAAGTCTCTTAAATTCGATTATCTCTCACACTTGACACTACCCTTCACACACGAATATAGTGAATGACTGCCGGAATGAAGAAGGCAAGGTTCTTTTGAAGAAGGTACTTCCTTTTTTTTACTGGATTTCTCATTGATTCTCTTACGTCATATGTGGCTCTTGCGATTGGCGTACTGACATATGACGTCAAACTTCATATCTTCATTTCTCTTATCGTCCTCCTCATTTTTGAATATTCTGAATGAAACTTCGATAACTTTTCTTTTTCAGTTTTATAAGATAAAATTATATAAATCTTACATTTAAGAAGCGCAAGCGTATTTACGAGCACTTTTGTTCATGTTTTTCTAATTTGTATCTATACTATCTTGTCACTGCTCAATAACAATTTAGAACTATATTATATTACTAAATCGGCATATTTGAATTTAGTCAATCATAAAAAAAAAAAAAAAAAATTACCCAGAACAGTAAAATCTAGTACCAGAAACGATATTAAAAACGAGATATCTTACTTCACTTCACATTAAATTCGGTTGCTTATGCTGGAGATAACATGCGTAACGATTATGCATTTTCTTAAAATATTGAAAAGAGTATTTTTATTTTAAATTAAATATAGTCCTTTGCAGTCCTTCGATAGAAATCCCTCGGAGATACGTCTTTAAAGTCAGATAACATAGTTAAATATGGCTTCATTGAACAATAATTTTTCAGTTTACGCCGAGGCCTTGCACGTTATTTAATGAAACATAATTAAAGAGATGTTTGGTATATATATATATATATATATAAGGAAGATAAAAAAATATGTAAATCAAAATAATAATTTAAACTAACACCTAATTCCCTTTAATTATGCCTCTCTGTTTTAAAAATCGTAATAACTTCTCTGGGTTGCGTCATTTCTAGATCATGAAATACATTCCGCAAGAGAAGAAGAGGAAAATGTGGTCATGTATTTTAAGAACATCCCATGGAGCATTATACCAAAGAATCTCTAGGGGATCACTATAGATTCTTTGATTATACTCCGTGGAACATCCGCATGTGCTATGTTTACAATGGAGTCGATAGCAATATTCTGCTGAATTAATGATTTTTCGAATTTAGAACTTGGCTATTGCGAAAAACGCTTGAAATTTCTCTTCCTTGATTGAGCAAGAAGGGTTTTTTTTTATTCAAGGAAAATATGAACAATGTTGTTTCAAAGTAAACCGGATAGCACGGTACTTATGCCAAGCTATCTTAAGGCCGAATGAAAAATAAATTAATTAGAAACCTCTGAGCAAATTTCTGCAGAAAACGAGGTAAGGTGACTTTGGTAGCCGGTTGCACGGATTTGGCGATTTTCTTTTGCGAGTAATACGACTTATGGTTTAACCATTGCTGGTAAGTTATTTTGGTAACCGATACTTGTTGTCATTTTATTTAAAATAATGCATTTATTATTCATAAATTCCGTGTTTTAAATATTATTTATGGCTTTTAAATATTAAAAATCAATTCCATTTTGCATTTTTATTTGAAATAAAAATTTTATTGTATATGATATTTATATTAAGCTGACGTCACCTTACTTCAAAAGATTTTTTAATGTGTATAATTTAATCATTTTTAAACATTTATGGCTGTAAATATTAAAATACAATTTAATTTTGCATTTTTTTGAAAAATGATTTTATTGTGTATGATTATTTAAATAACTTTAATTCTAGGTGTGATGTAATCAGTTCTCTGATTGGTTATAGTAAAATATTTATGTATTAACGAGCTGTAATCAGCTCCCTGATTGGTTACTGAAAATTTTCGCATTACCGTGCCATTTTAAAATTTAATCCATATCTTCGAATTCCTTCAAAGATGTCTGTTTTAAAGACAAATGTTGTTATTGGTAAGTACCAACAATTGTTGGTATCGGAATAAAAAAATGTCCTTAACACCTTATTTTGGCCAGCCTAGCTTTCCTAATCAAAGATTTATTTATAAATTCCTACAAGGGTCAGAGGAAATTTATTAAAAATTTTTGGAGGAAACCTCGCTGATTGCTTCTTCAATGTAGATCACAGATGTAGATCACAGATGAAGATCACAGATGAAATCGTTAGAAGAGCCGATTCTTAGGACGGCCATATATGGTATTGTGGTCATGTTGGAAGAAATAACCGCTGTAACAGTAAGAAAAGTATTAGACATTCCTCCTTTTTTACCGACAATAAACTAATTGCTGCCATTTTAGCTCTAGTGTACGAAGTGTTCTTATTTACTTATTTTAAAGTATTTAATTTAAGTAATATTTTAATTCTTTTAAAAGTTGTATGATGGTTTTTAATTCGATATCAATTTACGCAATATTTAATCCAATTAAAGTTGGCTCAATGTTTTTATAGCTGTATTTTTATTCTATTTCTGTGCTATATGAAAGTAATAATTTAACCTTTCTTTAGCATTTTATACTCGTAGTAAATGTATTTATGTACATTTGCTTGCCATTTTAAAAAACAACGTTTTCAACAAAAAAATTAATCCATTATTTTTAACGATATTTATTTTTTTGAAGTTTCGAATACTTTACTATGCGGAAAATAAGGTAAAAACGGTGTTTTTCAAGATGGCTGACGATTGTAAAAACCGCGCCAACAATTGAGCCAAAGTAAATCGCCAAATATCCGTGCAACCGTCTACCAAAGTAGTACCGGTAAGATTTATAAATTTTTCTTATGCATGATGCTTACCAGTATTAATAATGTTTTTTTATTAAGTGTATATTAGTTGATTGAAAACTATTCCCAAGACCTTGAATAACGTTTTCCAAGCTTTTAAATGTAAGTGTAATAATAGTACATTCATAGTTCATGAATAGTTGTTCTAAATTACTGAAGTAGCCGAATTCGTGAAAGACCTGTTTATCTGCAAGAATGTAAATACAAAGCCAATTTTCTCTCCTTAATATTAATTAGTGTCATAGAATATTTTATGCCGCTAAAATTTTATTAATTTCATCAAGATATGTTTTAATATTTTAGCTGTTGTAATCGATTTTTAATGAATACACATAAATATCGGAATGTTACTTTTTTAATACCTTCCATTGTAGATATACCAACAGCTGTAATATTAGAAGCCTCAATAATACTGAAACATTTTAATATAAAAGGATGCTTTTATTAGAATTTATACTTAATTCTAAATTTTTATATGAGATTGCTGAGTTTTTTAGTTTAAATATTAAATTAGCATGTATATTTAGTCCTTCAAAATCAGTGGTTGTGCCAGTCCATAGTTTGAGATAATATGTGCCTTAGGTATATGCATTAGAATTTCAATAGGCTATTTCCTAAAGTAGATCTTTTCAATAAATACGCTTGAAAATTTTTTTGAGCTACATGATTTTAAATTAAAAAATTCTGCACATAAATTATATTACTTACAAGATTAAAAATAACTTCAAATTTAATTTTTGAATATTGAAAATGTATACAGATAGTACTTTTTTATTATTTACTATTATAAAATGAAGAAAAAGCATTATGAAAAATTATTAGTTTCTCAGCTAGTACTGCAGTGAACTCAGTTGCACAAATCACTATAATTTTCTTTCTGGCATTTATATTATAGTATACAAAATGTGTTAATTTGCAGTTTATACTATCAATAGGATAATAGTCAAATGCTAAAAATAAAATTTAAAGTTCCATAAAATTATATATTAATTTTGAACTGTGCAGAGCATTGGCATCTTTACCCTTACATGATTTAAGGGCCAACTGCATTTACAGTGCTCCGGAAATTTGACTCTTACGATTTTCAGAAACCAACTATTTATAATTACTGTCTGCTTGTTAAGCTGATAAAATTATGACTTAAAAATATTTAACTAATAATAGTAACTTATTTAACTAATAATTACTTATTTAACTAATTTTATATTTAACTAATAATAGTTAATAGTAACTTTCTTTTCAGTGTTGAGGAGCAATCTATGTAATCTATGTATTCATTTTTACGTTTTGGTACTTTTCCGTTTCGCCGGCGCAAATCTCGCCAAGCAGACTTTATTGGCGACAACATACAGTATACACATAAAAAATATTAAAAAAAATGTTATTTCTAAGAATTTTTTTTGAAGGCATAAACATTTTAATATCGCTTACAATTTTATAAAAAGACAATAAATAAAGGAAATAAATTTGCAAAAAGACATTAATTTAAGAATTTACTATGGTTCAACATCCTGATTCGCCGGTTCATATCACGTGACCCCAAGCGATCTCATCTCGCGTAAACTACTCTACAAAAATCTAATGCTCTCAGTAATTATTTACATTAATTTCAAGTTAAATCTTAATTTGGAAAAACGACAAAACGGAAAAGTGTCTACATTTTTTTATAAATGAATTAATTATCAGATCAAGGAAAGAATTCATAAATAAATATTAACAATCAAAACATGGTAAAGCAGCTAACAAGAGTATCACGAAGAAAAAAAATAACGTATAAGAGTTACCAAAATTATACTAACCAAATGAATGAACAGTTAATTAATGGCTGAAATAATGGGGCTACTTTGATAGACGGTTGTACGGATTTTGGCGATTTTTTTTTTGGCGAGCGATACGACTTAATGGTAAACACATTGCTGGACAAGTTATTTATGGTAACCGATACTTTATTGTCATTTTATTTAAAAAGTAATGCGTTTTATTAGGCTTAAATTCCGTGTTTTAAATATTATATATGCCTTCTAAGTATTAAAAGTCAATTTAATTTTGCATTTTTATTTGAAATAAATTTTTATTGTTTATGATATTTTGTATAATTTATGTTGTGGATGATGTAATCAATGACGTCACCTTGCTTTAAAAGTAATTGGTTTTAATATCTATAAATTTAATCTAATGTTTTAAATATTACTTATGGCTGTTAAATATTACAATTTAATTTAAAAAGTACAATTTAATATAAGTTTCCGAAATTTCAACACATCTACCACAGCTCAAGTTTGTTTGTTTACATTAGCAGTTCTTACATCACGTGACTTCCGACGTCTCC